TACTAAGATATAAAAAAAATTAACTTTATAAAAAGCGATTATTTAAACAAATATGAGAAATTAAAACTAATACCGTAATTTTCTATTACGGCGCGTTTGTATCAGTTTCGGTGTATCAATTTCGGTGACCAAAATTACGTGTATTTTGAAGATAAAAAAAGATTGAAATAATTTTTTAGTCATTTGGCAACAGTTATATTAAATATAATAGTAATAATAGTTATTTTTTATGAACGCGCCGTAATTGGTGCACTCGCCGTGATTGGTTCACTTACCCTATTCAAATTAAGAATTTTTTTCTAATTGTAGTTCATATTAAGAGTTTATATAATTGTAAATTTTCTCTATGTAATTATATTCAATCGAAAAATGAGAAACATAACCTATTTTGCCTCTAATAAAGTACCTTTTCTCGTATCTTTTTTCATTAAGCTTTATTATTTTATATTTATTTTATTTGTAATTATTTACTATGTTTACAAATTTTATGTGTTTAATAATATTTTAGGTAATTTTATTTATAATTTTTTTTTCCGGTATATATATATATAACATGTGTATATTTTTGTGAAGGTGTTATTATATATATGAGTGCGATTAATATGAAACTGTCAGTGAAAGTGTGTAAATTGTAGGAAGTTGCTTCACGTTTTGAGGACAGTAGATTACAAACTATAGATGCAACAAATTTAGAAGAAAGCTGCAAAAGTTTATTAATCTTTTTTTTTTCCTCAAAAGCACTTCATATTTACACTTCAATCTCTCTTTTCACTATCTGTGTATATTTATACCACTTGTCACACATTTCGCCAGACTTATGATAAAAATTAAAAAAAAAAATTTTTTTTCCTTTTATTTGTGCCAAATTTGATTTTATTAATTTTAATTAAATTAAATGATATAATTAATTAATGACAATTAATATTCAATTAAAATTAATTAAATGAAATACTTTCTAAATTTGAATTATTAAGAATTCGATCACTAATTTATATTAATTATAATTAATTATTATATACTATTATAAATAGTTAATTATATATTAATTATAAATATTTACTAAGTTTCAGTTATTTTTCATTAAAACTTGAGTAAAAAAAATATTACTAAACAAAATATTAATATTTTATTAAAAATCAGTGAAAATCTTCTACTAATTTTAATTAATGAACGAATTCTCACTAATGCAAATTTAGAAAATAAGTCACAAACGAAAGAAAAAGATTTATTTAAACATTATTGTCCTCATTTAAATATATATTTTTTTAAAATTATTATCCTTATCATTTAACAGACAATAAATTAATTTTGGTATTTCAGTTATTTTAAATGACGCGTATGTGAAATGAATTCCTCTTAATTAATCTGATAATAGTCAATAAAATAAAGACTATAATATAAAATATATTTTAAAATGTAAACAAAATATTCTGAAATACAGTTAAATAAATTCTGTGCCATTTTTTTTTTTTTTTTATTATGATATCAATTGATTGAAATTATTTTGTTAACTTTCCCCCCACCTCTCTTTCTTTGAAATAAATATATAGTCCACCGATAAATAATGATACTTTTTAGCAAAATTTTTCTTGGCTATTCGATAAATTCTTTTCATCTATTAAATATAGAAAGAATGTTAAAAGTCTTCTTTTATACTGAAAGAGAGAGAATGTATTGAACAAGTTCTTGAAGTGGATAATTATATTGATATGGAAGAATGAGGTAAGCAATTATTTTACTTAAATGGTTTAAATATTTGCTGCTAAACGGTGCTTAGCTTGCTTCAAGTTATTAGCATCTTAATCTCTATAATATTGCGGTCTACGAGCTCCCGTCCGTCTATTCTCCATTAGGAGAGTAAAGTGGGTTATGTTTCTTTTGTCTCCTCCTATATAGTCACCCACTTCTACACCTCTGCGTGATTCTAGCTCTCCCATAACGTGTAACGCATCATGCGTGTTTAGAATAAAGAGAAAAAGAGGAGAGAGAAGTTTTACTAAAAAAAGAAAAAAGTCCACAATTTCAAACAATAATGAGTCTTATTTTTATATATATATATATATATATATATATGGGCGATTCCACGTGAAATTTACCTATGACCTTTTAAATAGAGAATTTTTTTGTTTGTTTTTTGCAGAAAAAAATGTTATACGCATTTTTTAAAAAATTTCTTTTTATAAGTTCCCAAATTTTCGAATTATGAATTTTTAAAAATCTCGGGTTTTCCGAGTAACAGAAATTTAGAATTTTTATATAAAAAGTAACAATTTTTATAAAAAAAACTAATTTTTATATAAAAATAACAATTTTTATATAACACAATTATAATTTTTGTATACAATAATTTTTATTTATTTAATCACAATGTATGGGCCTACAAGAAAAGGAAAAATGTGCTTCAGTGCAGGGGGTCATTTACGTAACTTTTTCCGGATTCCACATTCCAGATCCCACATTTCACATTCCGTATTTCAGATCCCACATTTCACATTCCGTATTCCTGATTCCACTTCACATTCCGGATCCCACTTTTAACATTCCGGATTCCATATTCCGGATACCACTTTCAAAATTCCGTATTTCAAATTTCACACTCCGGATTCTACTTTCAAAATTCCGGATTCCACTTTTCACATTTCGGATTCCACATTCCGTATTCTACTTTTCAAATTCCAGATTCCACTTTTCACATTCCGTATTTCGAATTCCATATTCCGATTTAAACATTCCGGATTTCACTTTTTACATTTCGTATTCCACATTCCAGATCTCACATTGCGGATTCCATTTTCCACATTCCGTATTCCACTTTCAGAATGTGGGATGTGGAATCCGGAATGTGGAATCTAAAATACGGAATTTTAAAAGTGGGTGGTGGAATTCGAAATACGTAATGTGAAAAGTGTAATCCGGAATGTGGAATCCGGTATACGGAATGTGAAAAGTGGAATACGGAATGTGGAATCTTTAATATGGGATTTTTAAAGTGGGATTCAGAATGTGGAATGCGGAATACGGAATGTGAAATACGGAATTCAAAAATGAAATCCAGAATGTGGAATCTGGAATAAGGAATTTGAAAGTGGGATCCGGAATGTGGAATACGGAATATGGGATCCGAAATACGGAATTTTGGAAGTGGAATCCGGAATCTGAAATACGGAATTTTAAAAGTGGGATCTGGAATGTGGGATTCGGAAAAAGTTACGTAATTGACCCTTAGAAGCACTTAGTATTTTAAAAAATTGTTAAAATGTATAACAGAATAACCAAATTATGTAGGACAGTAATAAAATTAAACAAAATTAATTTTCGCAAGTAGCTTGTAAATTTGTTCAATGTTACACTACAGAAGTCCAAGTCCAATTTTTATAAAAAAAAAAAAAACATAATAATTTTCATAGAAAAACTAATAATTTTTATAGAAAAAATAACAATTTTTATAAAAGAAAATTTTTTTACATTTTAATTTTTTGATTTTTGTATAGAAAGAAATAATTTTAAAATCAAAAACTCAATTTTTTGTAGAATTGCATGACAAATAAATAAAAGGAAATTTTTCCCATTAATATAGGGTAATTACACTAATTACGGCGCGATTCGAGTCAAAACACCTTTGAAATAGAAAATTCAACATTTCTATTGTCTAAAATTAATTTAAGATTTATTAAAATAAAAGCTTATGTTATTTAGATATTAAAAAATTGTTTTAATTTTATAAAAATCGATTATTTAAATAAATATGAGAAATTAAAACTAATACCGTAATTTTCTATTACGGCGCGTTCGTATTTACCAAAATTACGTGTATTTTGAAGATACTTTGCCCACCGTAATTGGAGCCAATGGAAATCTTAAAAATGTTTCAATTGCGGCGCGAAAAAAAATTTGATCTCAAATAATTAAATTAATAAATTGAATATTTGTTTAAAGATATATAAATTGGATTATTTTTGTACTCAGGTCATTGTTTTCTCAAGTGGAGTTATAATACATAAATATATACCTAAATTGGATCATAATAATAGGGAAAGAAATATATATATATTGTATATAATAAAAAAAAACTTTCACTTTAATAGATTTTCATATTACGAAAGAATACTTTCGCTAGCCGATCTAATATGTTTCCATGAAAATTGGACAGGTGGATCGAAAACATTATATATCCTGTCTAACCGTAAATTTAATAGCGCTAATCTTTGCGGTTCGAATAAAAAAAAAAAAAAAAGAAAAAAAAGAAAAATTAATCTATACCTAACTATTGGATTTCTTGTTCAATGATATATCGTCATTATCTTGCGTAAGGGTATAATTTTCGACGAAATAAAAAATCCAAAATAGCTTTATATTATTGATTATTGGTCTGCTAAATCTCAACATTGTATTCGATTAAAATTTTTACAATTAAAAAAAAATTAATTTTATTATTTTTATTATTTATTAATTCAATTTATTGCTTACTCATTATTTATTAATTTATTGCTAATATCCATTCTCTAAATTTGGAATTAGTTTACCTAATTAATTGCCAATTAGTAATTTATTAATTCAAATTAGTAAAAATTTATACTAATTTTTAGTAAAATATTACTATTTGATTTAGTAATGTTTATTTTTCAAAATAAATTTTTAGTAAAAAATAACTAAAAATTAGTAAAACTTTTCTCTAATTTTTTAGAAAAATATTACTATTCAATTTAGTAATTTTTTTTTTACTACAATAAGTGGAAATGACTTAAAATTAGTTGTATTTTTCACTAATTTTTATAGTAAAAAAAATTACTAAAAAAAAAATAGTAGCAATTTTCACTAATTTAAATTAGTGAACGAATTCTCACTAATTGGAATTTAGAGAGCGTGAATTTATAATAACAAATTTTTTTATTGTAACTATAAGAAAATTTGATTTTTTTAAAATTTATTTCTCTATCACGCTACAAAATTGTTTTAAAAAATTATTTAACAAATAGGTAAATTTATTAAAAGTCACTTACCAGTTTGAAAATAATAATTCCCGGATTTAATCAGTCTTCCGTCATATTCCAATCGGCCACTATAATGTCGACAGAATTTTTTTTCTTTTTTTTTTTTTTAATTCACTGAAAATTTACAATGAAGTCACACTTTTAACAAAACAAAAAAAAATTGATATCCTATAATAAATCCACTATTATTCATCCAAATAGAAAACCCAGTAAAATTTTTGAAGCACTTCTATTTTTGCTCTAGATCCCAATTAGAAAACAACACTAATTCTTGCATGGTTTACACTTTCTTTTTATTAGAAGAAAAAAACAAATTTTTCAAACATAATATTTAAAAATCACTCGTCAATATTATATATATATATCAATAGACACTTAATTCATTCAGATGAAAAAAAAAAAAAAATTAAAATAGTCTAAACAGAACGATTAATTTCTCCAATGTTGCTTCATTTTTCCATACGGAAGAGGATGTGACCGGTTAAGATGTTTGGACATTGATATCAATCAGACGATTCATGATCCCGTGTATTTGGACTGATGCACACACAACAGGTGGTTGGTATGTTTCTCTCTGTATATATATATATCTCAATTTCCACTTAAAGTCTCGTTTCTCAAAAAACACGCGACGTGTCCTTACGTGATTTATAATAATTCAAAATTTAAATTAATATTTATTAATTTAATGTTTAGTTAATATATAATATTTAATTAAATAGTGAAATTAGTTTAATGTTCCAAATCAGTAGGAAACTGGAATGCAATAGAAATTAAGGTTTGCTTTGAAAATTTTTATTTCTAAAGTTGTTGTTTGTTGTGAATTGTTTTATCCGAATGTTATTTCAAAATTGAAAAAAAACGAAAAAGATTGTTGAAGAACTTGTAAAAAATTAACTTGATTTATTTCCTAATAAAATGATAGAAGAAGTCCTGCTCTGATTTCTTTTCTTTGATAAAGAAATGTTTTTTTACGGTTGGCTTAGATAAGGCTTTTAATAGAAGTATTTTTTTAGATCAAATTTTTCTACACACGAAATTGATATCCTTTTCTTTAATTCCTTTTATTCTCCTTTTTATAAGAAAAAGTTGGCTCTTTTGTCAACTGAAAGCAAGAAAGGAAGGGTCAAGGATGATCCGTTTCTAAAAGCAGAAATCCCTTTTTAAAAGAATCACTTTCCAAGAGAACTAGATCCTTTTCTAGAGAAGTTAATCCTGTTTCATAGATCATCTGCCAATAAAAGTTCCACTCACACACGCACAACTTGTTTTACAGCAATTGTTCTAATTTTTGTTTCAAAATTGCTGAATTGTTTCTTATTTTTTGTATTAACAAAAACTGTTCCTTACTTCTTGAATTATAGAGAATTAGTCTTTTTGTAAAAAGAAAATTTCTTGTATTAATCAAAACTGTTGCTAATTTCTAGTATTAAAAAGAACTGTTCTTTATTTTTCGGTATTCCTTATTTCCTGTATTAACAAAAACTGTTCCTTATTTCCGAAATTACAGAGAATTGTTTCTTTTGTAAAAGAGTTGTATTCCAAAGAAGACAAAATTGCAAGACGAGATGGTTTTTTTTTTTGGTAGGAGTTGTCCCGCCACTGTGAGCTGAATTAACGATTCGGAGACGTCTTCTAAAAATGAAGAGTTCCCCTATGACATGAGATGAAGTTCCCTCGTTGCCGAAAGTTTCCTCTTCAATGGGAAAAGTTATGCTGAAGGTTCTGATATGAATCCAATATAGATATTAGGAGTCCTTTTGATAGAAGTCTACTCGATAGGAGTCCTCTTGATAGAAGTCTATTCGATAGGAGTTCTCTTGATAGAAGTCTACTTGGTAGAACTCTACTTGATAGAAGTCACCTTGATAGTAGTCACTTTGATAGAAATCTACTTGTTCGAAGTCACTTTTGATAGAAGTCCACTTAGTGGATGTTCTTCCTGACGATTAATCGAAGTTGTGAGAGATTAAAGGGAGCCTTTGATCGGTTGGCCAATATTGGGGGGGTCCAATAATGGGGTTGCAGTAAGTGGGCGATATAAAATAAGTTTTGGGTGGAACGTCCTGTGCGACGAGGTGAGGATTTTGAACTGCGGAGGACCCTCGAGTAAAACCGCGCCACGCTGCATTCGAGCGGACAAGACACACGTCGGAGTACGATGTGCTTCCTATATCTGATAGAGGTAAGAAGAGGGGGTTCTTAGTAGTGGAGTGTATACAGAGAGTTTGGTCTGAGTGAAGAGAGAATGAGAAAAAAGAAGGGAGATAGCCTGTCCAAGTAGTTCCATTACACCAGTACGGTCTCGACGACGAAGTGGGTCGGAGAACATTGGCGAGCTGGCGGGGCCGACGGCCTTATGCCTGGATTTCTTTATTTCATTTTCTTTTTTTTTTTTTTTTGTTTTCTTATCTCTTTCTTTCTCTTTCTTTCTAGTCCTGCAATACACTTGATTCTGTGTAGTTACACACTTGCCAGGGACCCATCCTTGATCCCTCGGAACCAGGGAATCAAGTTCGATCCTCTGGAGAACGATATCTTGACTAATCCGCATCAAGAGACTCGTTTCACCGGAGCTTAGTGTCTTGTTGCACATATTTATTTATTTTATTCTGAGATCTATATTTCGAACTTTGGAAAATGGATCAGTTAAATGATTGGGATTATAATTTTTCCTTTTAATTGAACGTTGCATGTCGTGTTTGGCTTCTTTCTTCACCTGACAGATTCAGGATGTTTTTCATTAAATTATATATGAAAAAGAAGGAATGCAATATTTTGTGTTTTTTACATTTTCATTTTGAATGTAAAAATTGAATTTTTATAAAGAAAGGAATGTTAATGAACAAATTGAATTTGAAAGTCTATGGTTAATATGTTAATTCTCTTTTGGATGATGTACTTGAATGCAGAATTAAAGAATAATTCTCGAGCTACTAGTAAATTTCATCTGTTAATATATTTGGCACTAAATTTTTGTAATTTTAATAATATATAAAATAAAGATGAATAAATAAGGATCTTATATCAAACGATGAGTTTGTTATTGGTATTGTGGTACCGCTTATAATCATATTGTTAGTACAAGTATAGTGGTCTCTTACGATTATTCAACTGCTACCACTCGTGTATTTATATTTTGGAGAACTTGTTTTATAGTACCAATAATAGTATTGCTTGTATGGTATTATTACTTTTGAATTTGTTACTAAAGAAAATTTCGTTATTGGTACCAATTATTACTTTTGATTTTGAATCTGTTACTAAAGAAAATTCCGATATTGGTATCACTGGTTAATTTGAAAATTTACAATAATTCCGTTATTGGTTAAAAACACAGAAATTTTGTTTACCAATTATATAACCTACTTATATTCATATCCTTAGTACAAATAGTGGTACCAGTTATATTTATAAGCCACTTGTATTTTCCTTTTCTGTAATTAATTTATTATACCAATTATAGTGTGATACAGCAAATACGTTTAATTGCAGATCTGTTAATTTTCAAAATTTCGTTATTAGTTCCAATTATGGTAAGCTAATTCTGTTATATTGTGTAAGGTAAATTTAATAATTAATAAAAATACAGTATGTTATCATAATTGTTGGAAATGAAAAATTTTGCTACCGGTACCATTTATTATATTTAAAAATGTATAAACCATACAGTAACACTATTGTTGGTATTATTATTAATAGATATAATATTTTGTAAACTGTTCGTTTACAATAATGCACGACTTACTATGATCAAATTTCCAATTTGCCTAAATCGACTTGGGCAAAACCCGAAATTCCTAAAAAATTCTCTAAAATGATTAGGATGAATTTTGGAAATATCCTAAGATTTTAGGAATTATTCGAATTTCCTAGTGATTCTTAGGCATATTTCGAATTGTCTTCGGATTCATTTTTTATTCATTCGCGAATTATTATTATTATTATTATTATTATTATTATTATTATTATTATTATTATTATTATTATTGGTATCATTTTTATTTATATTCTCAGTATAAAGGTACCAAGTATTTATATTACTTTCGCTTCTAAATCTGATACGGAACATTGTTTTGTTACTGATTTTATGAGACTGAAGTACACAACGTTTTCAAAAACGAAAAATTAAAATAGAATTATTTTTTCATATCAATTTATCTCTAATTTTGATTTGCACAAACTTTCAAGAAATTAATACTTTTATAAAAACCAGTTACCCCCGAATAACTTTAATTTTAACCCAAATTAATAGATATTGTCTAATTATTTTTTCGTTTTCGTTTATAAAAACGTTGCGGACTTCAGCATCATTTGATTTTGTGGTACTAATTGATTTGGTTTTAGTGGTATCACTAAATATAGTATAGTGGTATCACTTGTATTAGGTACTTTATTATTGTGTATTATAGTACCAATTATAATGTCACATTGATCTATTGTAAACACAAGTGGTACCATAATTGGTACCACTGCCTATATAAGCAAAATAACAACCAAATAAACGGTGGTACCTTACATTTTTTGGTAATTTTGGTATAAGTATATTTTTCCACCTAAATCTGGTTTCTTATTTTTTTATCGACACCAATTACCATTTCTATTTGTATTCTATAAAATTTATTTTTGCTTGCATATATTTTATTATAAATTTGATATCATTTAAATATTATCATATTAGAGTCAACTAGTACTTTAATATTACGTAACACCATAAATATATTTAATATTCTTTAATATCATTATGATACTAATTTTGGAATATTTTTTTAAAATGAAAAAATTTAATGGAACAGAAACCAATTCTGTTAATTTAAAAACTACAAACAAAAATTAGAATGCTAACAATAATTATTGTGCTAATTACTCAGAGAATAATATAAAGCTATTACTTTAAAATTAGTATATACAGAGCCGACGAAAAATTAAATTGACGGAATGAAAGGATGAGGTTGAGAGAAAGAGGAAATTTTCTTATTTATATATATATATATTTATAAATATAGACGCGAGGATTGCTTTTCTCTGATTGAGTTTGAATTCTAATTAATTGTTTACCTTGGGAAGAAAATTAGTTTGACCTGATATATAAGAAGTTCATTAGGAATTTTCAAAGCGAGGCGTAAAATATCGTTCTCGTTACATCCGTGAAATAGAGCGAGGGCTTCAAAAACTGGTGAGAGTAGCGTCCCACTGCCAACAAAACGGTTCTTCGTGGTTCATGGATATTTCTCTCCTCTTGTGTATGACACGTACTTCTCGTATTTACATTGTGTCTACCGAAAGGCGTGCAAAATCGACATTGATTCTTCTAAAATTGGGTATTCCTTCATATATATTATATATTTGCCGCAGCATATTGCTCCTCTTAAAGAAAAGCTTTATTTAGGACAAGTTAAAACGGATTTGTACGCACATTTCAAATCAAGTTATATGAGAGGAGCACTAAAAATATAGTGCACAAACTATGAATAAATTATTCTATATATAACAAAATACAAACAACATCATAAATTAAATTAATTTTAAATAAAAAATAACAAAAACTTTTCTTTTCGTTTTAGTGTAAATTAAAATTTTAAGCAATGAAAACTGCTTTCAAATTATAAATGTGATTTATGATTTGTAGAGTGTTTCTATATGGTTTGACGAACAGATGTGATATAAATTTTTGAGAGGGGGAGGAAGAAAATATTTTTTATTCCGTGAATTACTTGCTCCTTTCCATATCATCTCGTTTAAATCAATGCATCGTTTATTTATAGAGCATCGAGAGCGTTACAAATAAATTATTGATTATTGCAAACATGTGGGTTGCAATTACACACATCACATCTGCTTCGATGGCCTCGGGCAATTTGATAGATTAAGAAGCCATGGTAGGAGGAATGTCTAGTCGAATGATAATCAAAACTCACATTGATTGATATCAATTTCTAATTAACGCCCAGAGCAAAGAAAGAACGCCATGCTCCATACCGTAACTAAATTATAGGTTAAATTTAACATAGCGGCTTTTCTTTCTACACTTAAAAAATATCTACAGTCAATCGAGGTAATTACAACGACAAAAACGTTATTTTTTTTTATTCAACACGTTATTAAAATGGGGCGCATGATTATACCACAAAAATTGTTAGTTAAAATTTTTATTTTTAAGAATTTTATTATAAATTATTTTTTAGACGAATATTTTTATTTTTCGAATTAACATTTTGACAGAATTTCTTTTTAAACAAATTTTTACTTAACAGAATTCTTATGTATTGAATTTTTATTTGTCCGAAATTCCAAATAAGCGAACAAACAATCGACAGAAAGATTTTGGCGCGATGTTTAAAATTCACCAATGAAAAGTTATTAAGAAAATCGTGATTGGTGGATTTTAAAAATCGCGCCGAAATCTTTCTGTCGATTGTTTGTTCGGCTATTTGCAATTTCGGACAAATGAAAATTTGCGGCGTTTTAAGAATTCTACCAAATAAAAATTCGATGCCTAAAAATTCTGTTAATTAAAAAATTCTTTTAAAAAGAAATTCTGACAAATGTTGATTCAAAAAAATGAAAATTTGTTTACAAAATAGTTATATCTAATAAAATTGTTGAAAATGAAATTTCTAACTAATGATTTTTATGGGATAATCATGTGCCCCATTAAAAATTCAGAATTTAAAAACAATACACAGAAAAAAACTGAGTTCAAAATGAGTCGGTGGACCGACTCATTTTGAACTGCAACAAAAATGAACCTCGAGAAACTCATTTTGAACCTCAGGCAAAAAGCATTAAAATGAGCTAGATCCGATTCATTTTGAGTTCAAGTTAAAATGACAATTATAGTCAATTAAGAAGCACTTTATCATAAAACCATTAATAAAAATCATTGTTTTCAATGAACAAACAGATTACACTTGAAAAAACTTTGTTTCTTAAATCCGATTCATTGAATTTATAGAAAACAAAATAAATTATTTTTAGGTTAGAAACTTCTGAATTGACAGAAATAAATACCAACCATGCAACACGAAACATGAAATTTAACGGCGCCACTGTCTAAAAACCAAAGATAATGGCGCCAAATTTAAACTTGAAACTATAACCAAAAATAAAGTATTATTC